AGTGCTGAGGTCGTGGGTTCGGCTCTGGCCTTCCCGTGTGGAGTTTGCCACCGAGTTAGGTCATTGTAAAAATTGTGTTGGAATTTGGGTTATCCGTCGGTTTTGTTTTGTGTGGGGTTTTTTTTGTTTTGTTTTGTTTTGTTTTTTTGGAGCGGGGAAGGGGCTGAGATACAAATGTTCCTAATCAAATCAAAATGTTCCTTACAAAACATTCACAAAGTTCATATGAGGTGAATTATCAGCTCTATGACAAAAGTAAAAGAGTGCAACTACTTGGTGCCAACATATATCAGGCATATACAGCAAAGACAGTCATCTGAAAATCTTCCTCGGCACGCAATTTGAGAAACTGTTCAACGCAACAAAATTACAGCGAGCAAGCCAAAGCGCAATGTAGCTTGAAATGCCAAGCGAACCTCCGCCTCCCAATGGCACGCCCCATGATATCTCATTTACTCAACTGAAGTATTCCAACAAGGGAAAAAAAAGAAAAAAAACTTTACCATTAACCCATTTCCAAGCGCGGAGATCATTTACGGTTGACATATTAACATCACAGGGAGCAAAGTTTTGTTATGACGCACAATTGATGTTGTGACACACAAACGCACACTTTAGGTTATGTTAGAGGTCGGAAAGATTTCGAGGGCAAATGATAACAAGCACCTTTTTGCAGATTTCATAAGCAACAGGTTCAACCGAGTGACCCCCGCGATGCTACGAGATGATGCTTTCTATTTTCGACGAGTGCTGTTCTGGCATCATGTTTCCACTACAGTTCCCAGCAGGCAACCGAGCTGCCCGACTTCCCGAGAGATTGGCAGAGACAAACCCGTGAGCACGTGCACAGGCTCACGACAATTCCACAATTGGTGTTTTGGCAGCGGGTACACTCAGCTGCTGCTTCTCAAATCGGGTTGAGGTGGGTGGGGTAGGATGGTGGGGGGAGTCTTTCATGGCCCTTTTCCACCACGCTTGTGCTAATGCTAGTCCTGGGCCAGTTCCCAGGTTAGCATCAGTTCTTTCCTTTTCCATTGGCTCTTGCTCGAGCTTTGGTGCTAAAGCTGCCTCCAATTATTTGTCGGGCCAGACTCTGGCACCACCTACGTTGGGAGGCGCGGGGTTATCATGACAATCGCTGTTGAGCAGTGAACTCCGGCACAGTTGTGTCCCACCAAAAAGAGCAATGGCAGATGTGCCCAGTTAGCACGCTATCTCTGCCTCGCAGCCTGCCTCGTGATCATCTACAGTGGTTAAGAAAGATCGAAGCGTTTGCTGATTGCATGTCCCTGACTGTTATAAACTACATACAAGTATAATCGATGCTATGCTAAGTTGCCTAGCTGATGCTAACAGCGCATTATTGTTATTATTATTAATAGCACGGGCGCTCTTGGGTAAACGTCGACTTAAGCGATGACGTTTGGACGCTTTAGGATGACGTCACAATATAGCTCCTACTTGGCCGGTGGAGCACCGGCCCTGGCGTTGAACGAGCATGAAGTTTTTTTGTTTTGTTTTTTTTGGGGGTGGGGGGGGGAGGTGAAAAGGGGTACAAGTGGCACCTTAACCCCATCCAGTGAGTGTTGGCAATAAAATGAAGACAAACTTAATCCGGTTGTCATCAAATGCTCTCTTTCTGTTTTGATTTTTGACGTCGGGCCATAAAGGCAACAAACTGGTCGTGCCTGAATTTGAATGTAAAGAATTGAACTTGTTTTATGCAGTCTAAATATCGTACGTATTTGTGTGTTGGATGCTTGCCTTGAAGGGGTGTGGCACAGGGAGTGACGTCAGGAGCTCGGTGTCAGCGTCTCATTTTGTGTGCGTGTATGTGTGTGTGTGTACAAAATGTGTGTGCATAAGGGATGCCAAACCTGTGCTGCGCCACACCTCCCTTCCTCTTTGGATTCAAAACACTGCACTGACCCATCACTCAGATCATTTGAAATCGGCTCATGTGTAAAACCGTTCTGTGACGTGTAGCGAATACTCTATCAACTCGTACGCGGCCTCCCTCTCAGATGCATCTCTGGATTTCATTTTGGTTTGTTATACAACAAACTTAATCAACTCCACATGCTTCTGCGGGAGACTCGTGAAAGAATGCT